GGAGATGAAAACACTTCTGAAGCCTCCTGATTTTCAAAATTAAAATTAAAATTAAAATTAGAGACTGATTGAAACGACCTGGAAGTTTGGAATATCACAATAACTCCCCGCAGAGGAATTTTTAAGGCAAAGACTAAAAGAGAAAAGTTAAAATGTGGTTAATTTATTGTGTGGCTTTGAAGTTTGGCTCAAGTGTCACCTGTAAACCAGATGGGGAGATGTGTGTAAATAACACAAATAGGGACATGGAAAGAAGGAATGATTCAGTATTTTGATTTTTCTTTCTAATGAAGAAGTTTCAAGGCCTCCAGGAACACCTTGTGCTACATGTGGGATTCTTACCCTGTGTCTCTTTGGAATTTCCTCTGTCCTTCATAACCTTCCAGAACCAAGAGGACACACTTATTTAAAAAGTAACCTTTGAAATTTTGTGTACATTTCATTTTATGATCAGGTTTCGAGGGTTTTTTTGAGCAACTTAAATGGATAAAATATCCAAATTAGCTGTATTAACTAGATATTACGATGCATATAAATGATATTGTTTGAAACCTGGTTTTATTTTGTTTTCTTCCCTTCCCAGAGTGCCCAGTTCTACAAAGTCACCACAGAGCAATACCAAAAAGCTGCTGATGAAGTGTCAGCTCGGTTCAAGTAAGTCTGTTCCCCTGGGTTTTTTTGATTCTGGCAGCTGGAGGAGTTTTTATCCCCATTAAAATGCACAATAATTCCCCTTCCCCCCCTCAGAGATCCTATCAATCCATGCTGGTTATTGAAAGGAGGGAATTTGGAAGAATTTGGAAGCCAGTGTATAGAAACCATAAGCTGCATAGAAATGGGATGCAGAGTTAATATATATTAATTAATTTATAGTCGATAAGAAGCGTGGAAACACTCTGAAAATATATTCCCCTTTCTCTAACGGAGCACCAAAAAGGCAACTCCAACTTTGCATGACAATCGTGTTCATCCCGTGCCTGCATGACAGGAAAGATTTAAATTGGGAACTTCACTTTGCCCTGAGCAGTGAAGGTCAAATTAAATAATTTTGATTAGTCCTGAAGAGGGTTAAATAAAGATCCAGTAATTGGTGGATCAAAGGGACTCTGACCCTTGGCCTTGGACTCTTCCCTTTCGGCTGCTTCATCCCTGAGGCAGAAGGTTCCATTTATCATTTTAGTGAGGAGACAGAGGGAACTTTTCACACCCTTTCTGGTCTCTGCCCTAACCCAGAAATGCTGCATGAAATGAATTATTCTACGATGATTTTCAGGTTTTGTCGGGGGGATTTTCTTTTGGTTCCGTGTTTTGTTTTGACTTTCGGTGAGAAAATCCCTTTTGAGCCGCCGATAACGATGCAAATAAAATTCTTTCATGTGAGATAAACCTCATTTTAGCTCTTAATATCCTGAATTGTTGGATATTCTCGAGTGTACCTGTAAATCTTTGTGCTGGTTAATGTGCTGAGGACTGAATTGATCTGTCCCTTAACAAGAGGGACAAGGTGACCGTTGATCAAGGGTTGATTTCGGGATAATTTGGAGGGTGTCCCATTCTAGCTGGAAAAGCAGGGAGGTTGGGATAAGATTCCCATTAAGTGGGTGTCTCCTCCCTGTGTTACACTGAGGTTTTTAAATCTCATTATTGCCTAATTTCACTTGCATTATTCCAAAGGGAGGGTTTTGGGGGTTTGGAACAATCGAACCTGAGGTACCAGCTCAGAGCTCTGACTGGGTTTTGTGGCCAGGGGTGGGAAATGGGCTTTGGGATTGGGTTTTTCTTCTGATATGTGGATGATTTCCCAAGTAAATCAAATACTTTGGGGTTCCTTTTTGCACAAATGGAGCTGGTAGATATGGCAGAGGAAAGGGAAAAAATAGGAAGTAGAAAGGGGAAAAAATAGGAAGTCAAAGGGGAAAATTTAGGAAGTAAAAGGGGAAAATTTAGGAAGTAAAAGGGGAAAAATAGGAAGTAAAAGGGAAAAATTAAAAAGTAAAAAGGGAGAAAATTAGGAAGGAAAAAAGGAAAAATTAGGAAGTAAAAAGGAAAAAAGGAAGTAAAAAGGGAAAAAATTAGGAAGTAAAAAGGGAAAAAATTAGGAAGTAAAAAGGGAAAAATAGGAAGTAAAATGGGAAAAATTAAAAAGTAAAAAGGGAGAAAATAGGAAGTAAAAGGGAAAAAATAGGAAGGTAAAAGGGGTAAAAATTGGAAGTAAAAAGGGAAAATTTAGGAAGTAAAAAGGGGAAAAATAGGAAGTAAAAGGGGAAAAATAGGAAGGTAAAATAGATAAAAATTGGAAGTAAAAAGGGAAAAATAGGAAGTAAAAAGGGAGAAAATTAGAAAGTAAAAAGGAAAGAAAAGAAGTAAAAAGGGAAAAAATTAGGAAGTAAAAGGGGAAAAATTGGATGGTAAAAGAGATAAAAATAGGAAGTAAAAAGGGTAAAAATAGGAAGTAAAAAGGGAAAAAATAAGAAGTAAAAAGGGAAAAAAATAGGAAGTAAAAGGGGAAAAGTTAGGAAGTAAAAAGGGTAAAAAATAGGAAGTAAAAAGGAAGAAAATTAGAAAGTAAGGGGAGAAAATCAGAAAGTAAAAGGGAAAAAAAAAGAAGTAGAAAGGGAAAAAATTAGGAAGTAAAAGGGGAAAAAAATGGAAGTAAAAATCAGGGTGTTCTTACAAATAGTCCCACTTTATTGGGACAGGGCTGCAATTAGTCACCAAGTTTTATTGAGACAGCTTGGATTTCTTCCCCTTTTTAAGCTACACCTCTTTCAAGTGTCAAGTACTCTTATTATATATTAAATATTTCCTGGTTTTTTTATATAATGAGTCTACAATTAGTTACCAAGTTTTATTGATGTGAATTTCTTCCCTTTTTTAAACTACATCTCCTTCAAGAGTCAAGTACTGTTTTATATATTAAATATTTACTGGGGTTTTTATACAATTAATATACAATTAGTCACCAAGTTTTATTGAGAGAAATTGGATTTCTTCCCCTTTTAAGCTGCACCTCTTTCAAGAGTCAAGTGGATACTGTTATTAGATATTAAATATTTCCTGTTTTTTTAATATGATTCTACAATTAGTTATCAAGTTTTATTGACTTGAATTTCTTCCCCTTTTTGCTTTAGAGCAAAGAGAAGTGGATACTATTATTATATATTGAATATTTCCTTGTATTCTTTATACAATGAGTTTACAATTAATTGCCAAGTTTTATTGACTTGAATTTCTTCCCCTTTTTAAGCTACATCTCTTTCAAGAGTCAAGTGGATACTATTCTTATATATTAAATATTTCCTGATATTTTTATACAATGAGTCTACAATTAGTCACCAAGTTTTATTGAGAGAACTTGAATTTCTTCCCCTTTTTGAGCTGCACCTCTTTCAAGACTCAAGTGGATACAATTATTATGTATTAAATATTTCTTGGGGGTTTTATATAATTAGACTACAATTAAGTACCAAGTTTTAGTGACTTGAATTTCTTCTCCTTTTCAAGCTACATCTCTTTCTAGAGCAAAGAGGAGTAGATATTATTATTATTGTATATTAAATATTTCCTGGGTTTTTTATACAGTTAGTCTACAATTAGTCACCAAGTTTTGTTGAGATAACTTGAATTTCTTCCCCTTTTTAAGCTACATCTTCTTCAAGAATGAAGTGGATACTATTATTGTATATTAAATATTTCCTGGGTTTTTTATACAGTTAGTCTACAATTATTCACCAAGTTTTATTGAGATAGCTTGAATTTCTTCCCCTTTTTAAAGAGTCAAGTGGATTCTATTATTGTATATTAAATATTTCCTGGATTTTATCCAATGAGTCTACAATTAGTTATCAAGTTTTATTGACTTGAATTTCTTCCCCTTTTTCAGCTACATCTCTTTCAAGAGCAAAGAGAAATGGACATTATTATTATTATTATTGTTACATATGACATATTTCCTGGATTTTGTATACAGTTAGTCTACAATTAGTCACCAAGTTTTATTGAGAGAACTTGAATTTCTTCCCCTTTTTAAGCTACATCTCCTTCAAGAGTCAAGTGGATACTATTATTGTATATTAAATATTTCCTGGATTTTCCTTCCTCCATTTAGTCCCTGAAAGTACATCAGTCTGCAGGGCTAATTAACCCCATTACAAAGGGGGAAAATACAAATATCCCAGATGGATTTGCAGCCGAGACCTGGCCGGGTCTCCTGCCCTTTGCGTGCAGCCCCTCCTTCCGAGCCCGGATTGACCCGATATTCCGACGGCCCGTCAGGAATGTTTTATCTCGGCCAGGTCCCGATTCCCATCGATCCAATTGGGAATTATCAAACGGTGCATCTCGTTCCCATTGATCAAACCCCAAATGAGCGGGTTCAGGCAGTTCCTGCAGCTCCCAAATCCCATTAAACCCCCATTACGTCGGAGCGACGTTCCCGACGCTTCCATTAGAACCCGAATTATTCCATTATGGAGATGGCTCTGTTAATAACGAGAGGTTTACACAAGAAGAAAAGAATGCCATATTACAGGAAGAGCTCTGGGCAAGGATTTGAACTTTCCCTAATCAAATTGTGCCTTTGGATTGTGGTTGGTTTTTTTTTTCCCTGAATTTGAAGTTCGGCAGCTGCGGCGGTGACATTTTTATTCCCCCGTGGAATTTAGAGCCGAGTAACATCTTCATTATTCATTTAGGAGCAGAGTAAGCAGATAGGGCATATTCAACCTAAAATAAATGGGTTTTGTCTTCTGTGGGTTTTGATTCCTTGTGGGAGATGTAGCTTTTTCCGAACTATCCTGCCTTTCCCCTCCTGCTCCGCTGCTCTCATTGACAACACGGAGTTGCTTCTTGCTGCTTCTTTTTTTTGGGCAAAAACTTAGTCCCCAGCCCCGGGTCCAAACCCCAGGGCCTCTTTGGGGATTGCCTGATCCTTTTGGTGGTGAGGTTTTGCCACAAAATGTAATTAATTCCCCAAATTTTGCTCGAGGAATAAACTACTGCATCTACACCAAACCCAAATTCTGAATTTTGTGCATCAGAGTGCAGGGTTTGTATAGATCAGACTCACGGAATATCCTGACCTGGAAGGGAACCACGAGGATCATTGATCCAACTTCTAGCTCTGCAAGGACAATCCCAACAATCCCACCCTGTCCCCGGGGGCGTTGTCCAAATGCTCCTTGAGCTCTGGCAGCCTTGGGAGCCTGAATGAAATTCCTGGAGGAAATTATCCAGCACTAACAGTTGTAATCACATTTGGAAATTTAGGTGTTTGTTCTGAATCCCAGCTTTTGGTGGCTTTAATTCCCCTTACTGTGAGACTTTTGGGCATGAAGCTTTGCCATGAGGAGAAATTCCTCTGGGGAACTGTTTGAAGGTTTGGGATTTGCTCAGGCTGCTTCACACAGTAAAATCTACACACATCCCAGACATTTTCAGAGCAGTTTTACAGACCAAATCGACCCACTTCAGGTGATCCTGGATCATTTCCATTGCTCTGATGGGTGTGAGGACTCATTTATCTCCAAGCACTTAATCTGGAAAATATCTTCAGCGGGAATATATTTGATTTGACTCAGGACAAGAATGAATGGGGATAAATGACAACTCATCAGTCTTCCTTTGATTGCTGACTTGTGCATCACAAAGCTTGG